AACAACCCCACACCACCACCAAAGCAATATTTACAAAAAAAAACAAAAACAAAAAAAAACAAAAAACCAATTGAACTTATCACGTGACCACGCGATGTTAAAAATAGATAGTTATTATTATCATTACATACTTCATGTAAATATAAATAGACTAACATTAATTTATATGTTTTTAGTATTTTATGTAAAGATACCTGTTGTATATATAAAGAAATCATCCAATGCTTGTCTACATTTAAGTTAAATGAACCTTCCTGTTTTGCATTTATTAATAAATGATCGTCAGCCGACCTTCCACCTTAAAAATGTCATCAGATTCAGTGACTGATCGGTGATGGATACATTGCTCGTAAAGTTTAAAAATATCTTCCGACAAAACGACGAGGACATGGATGTCATAATGGAAGAAGGCGGGAGAGCTTTTCCGACTAGCGTGATAGAGAAGACACGTGAGGTTCTTAAGGAAAGGTTGTCAGGACACGCTATTCCAGACGTTTTGGTGGGCTTGGAGGAACAGTATGGGTAGGTTTTACGCGTAGTGGTTCGTAATGCAAAGAGAGAAAGAATGACAAGATCCGTAAATCCCCACCTAGGGAATTTTTCGATCTGTTGAATCGCAACGTTTCTTTGGGTGAAAGTAATACGTGCATACTCATCGGACCACCCGGTTGCGGAAAAACTACGGTATCAAGTCCACTTCAACTCGCGTTTTAGTCACGTGTGCCGATTATATAATTAATGACATTTGGATCTGAAGTTGCTCAAAAAGGCATTGAAGTCCTTAGAAGGAATCCACGGGGACGATTTTGTTTGTGTGTATGTAAACGGGTTATTCCATACATCCGATCTGATGGTACGCCAACAAATCGCTTGTCAACTGGGACAACAGATTAAAGGTTTTGTAAGTGATAATAGGAAAATGGTGGGGAGAGAGAGAGAGATGAGTTCTTCGATTTTTATGTTGAACCGCACCGCTTCAATTCATAGAGATCAGACGGGGACGCGTACAATCTATTAAAATCTGGCACCAGCAATAACAAGTCTATATTCCTGATAATTTATAATTTTGATGCATTCGCGAAACACTGTAGCCAATCTTTCGTTTACAATATATTTAATATTGCCACGAGCAAAAATTGTCCTATCTCGGTGATTGGTATCACGCGGAATGTGGTACGTATGCACTTCGTTAATAATGTATAGGAAAAGGTACGCACCAGAATCATACCTTCATTATTCCCTACATGACAGAATGTTTTCAATGAGCTTGCCCAGAATGTTCTGTCAAGAAATTCGCATTGCCACATCGATATTGATCGACCAGAAAGTATCGATCGATTTTCGGAAGTGATCAAAGTGATTCTGAGATTGGATGAGGACGTAATTGGAGACGCAGAGTATTGCAGGATGTTCAATGAAAATGTTGAGGTGATTGATTTCTCTTTCGCAGATCGTGTCTGTGATCTATCTTAACGCTACACGTGTATACACTATTTCTAAAATTCCCATAGGATCTACTTGAGGAAGAGTCTTTTAAAACCATTGTGCACCAAATATTTAATGCTTCGACGGATTTTATAAGATTCTTTTGTAAAATATGCGTAAGTGTTGATCACAGGCGAGGGTGTCAGGAAAATCCAAAATAAACGAATTTCGGGATTTCAGGAATAAATAATAACCTCTTTCCTTATCAAGTTCATTCCTGTTGGCAAGTTGACAGCCGATGCGCCATTCCTTTCACTGGATGATTTCAAGCAGTCACTTCTCGAACATTCGACAAACATCAACCAAATATTGACAGGTATAATAAATAAATACAAGCGATTCAACGATGAAAAATGCACACACACACACGGTTGCGTTAACCTTTCTCCCTGGGCATTCATAGGATTGACGCAGAATCAAATTTGGCTGTTGCTAGCCATCAATTCATTGTTTTTCCGAGACTGTCAAGTATTTAATTTCATCATGGTTTATGAAGAATACAGGAATTACATGAAGGCGTACACGAGGAAGTCGGGCAGTAATTTTCGAATGAAGATATGCAAGGAACACGTCGCACTCGCCGAATATGAATTCTTACAATTAAGGGGATTTTTGAAACGAATCGATGAAGGTAAACATCAACCGAAGCAATATCGAATGATGAAGTCATTGATTTTACCAGAACAAATCAAAGAGGTTGTTATCACGAATCCACGATGTTCCTCGGCAATGAAGGATTGGGTAATCCGAGGCCTCACGGATTAGAGTTCATTAATTATTGACAGAATGACAGAATGTCCGAGTAAAATGTATGCACCCTGAAATGTAAGAGAGAAAGAAAAACGGAGGAAACAATTATAGAAATTGATAAATATAAAAGGAAAAGACAGAATACAAAGTTCATCTGCATTAAAAAATGAAAAAAAAAAAAAAAAATATCCAAGGGTAATGTGGTGGATACTGTGTCACCGGAACGGTTGGAATTTTCATTCAGTTAGAAACGATTGTTTGACCATTGATCGGAATATTTTTTTGCAGAGGAAAGATGCTATTCCGAATACATTTGTATAAAAAAATTCAAAAATTACATAGCGTTAACATGACGTTAACATTAAACTTTAAAATAAAAGCAATACTTTTAATTTTCGGGCCTCAACACGAGTTTTACGTACGCAGGTGACATGTAATACACCGCAGCAGCCAAATCGGTCTGGAGCATCATGTGAGGGAAAATGCACCCCGAGATCTCCTTTTATATAAAGGAGCCTAAACTTCACTTAGAAAACACTCTATCTCATTATCGTACCGTCAATAGTACGTCTTGACCTTACAAATCCTCTGACGAATAAAATTGGTTTTCCTGCACAGCCTGTAGGAAATTTGAGCTATACGATATTTGTTTTGTTTTTGAGCTTCAACGGACAAGACGTCGTCTCCAAAGACCAAAAAGCGTAAGATTGAAACAATGTCGGAGCCGTCTGACGATGATCTTATGTATGACGATTCCTATCGGGACTCAGGTAACCTTTTAGCGTAATAAATTGTTCTTTCGCTATTGATCGTTTGACAAGTTTGAGATATAAATTATCGAATAATAACCAGTGCTTGTGCTTGATTTTTGCTTTCACTTGATAATGTGACAAATTTTATCTAACAATGAACTTAGACGAAGAACAAGAAGTTGAAGACGACGAAGAGGAAGTTGAGGACGACACCGAGCTCAACTTTACAGACGTTGTTGCGGAAAAGGATCGGAAAAAGAGTTACGAAGTAGAATTTACGGTTCATTCTATTCAAGGTATCGTTAAAAATCAGGATGATGAGGTCGTTCATGTGTCCAACATTCTTGGCATCCAAAAGCAACATGCCGCGACTTTACTGCGACATTTTCGCTGGAATAAGGAAAGGCTTATCGAACGTTACATGGATAATTCGGAAGAAGTCCTTAAACAAGCCGGTGTAATAACCGACGATTCTAGGGTACCCAGATTTGTGAAAGTACCCGGTTTCACGTGTGAGATTTGTTGTGATGACGATGAGGATTTGGATACCCTGGCCCTATCATGTGGTCATAGGTTTTGTCATAATTGTTACGAACATTACTTGACGCAGAAGATCAAAGAGGAGGGTGAAAGCCGCAGAATAATGTGTATGGCCAACAATTGTAATGTTATCGTTGATGAATCAACGGTTGAATTGGTAGTTAACAAGGATATACACGAAAGGTACATATTATTAAGATTGATCGTGCGCTTGGATTTTTTTTCTTTCTTAACAGGTTCCAATCCACTACACCAGGTATCGCACATTACTGAATCGAACTTATGTGGATGACAATGAATCTTTGCGGTGGTGTCCGGCTCCTAGTTGTGAATATGCTGTTGAATGTCATGTCCCTCAGACCTCGCTTACAAGTATCGTGCCAACTGTCGAGTGTTTCTGTTGTCATCGTTTCTGCTTTGGCTGCGGATTACCAGATCATCAGCCGTCCATTTGTACGCTGGTGAGGAAATGGATTAAAAAATGTGAGGATGATTCTGAAACAGCCAACTGGATCTCGGCGCATACAAAAGAATGTGGGAAGTGTCATTCGACCATTGAAAAGAATGGCGGGTGCAACCATATGACCTGTCGTAAATGTAAATACGAGTTCTGCTGGGTCTGCATGGGACCCTGGTCAGAACATGGGACCAGCTGGTATAATTGTAATCGATACGATGAAAAGAGTAGCCAGGACGCCAGAGATCAGCAAGCCAAATCTCGTGCATCCTTGGAACGGTACCTTCACGTACGTGTTTTCCTTTTTTTTTTTTGGTGCTTCCTTTTTTGGCAATGATCACCGCGATCACGTAAATAAACTATATC